TGTTAAGATATCTTTTACTGAAAGACTTAAAAAGAAAAACCCACCCTGCATGCATGAAGGAATGTACTAGTTCTGTGGATAGGAACATTTAAAATCATAAAGACATTGGGCATCTGAGTAGCTAAGTACGTTCAGCATCTGACTTCTGATTTTGGCTTAGGTCATGATCTCAGGTCTTAAGCCCCACACTGGGCTCTACACTGGGAGTGGAACCTGATTAAGATTCTCTCTCTTTCTCCCTCCCCTTTGGCCCCTCTCTCTCTCTCCCTTTCTTAAAAAAAAAAAAAAAAAAAAAGGAAAAAGAAAAAATCATAAAGACCATGCCAAAGTAATTTATAAAGTCAATTAAATTCCAATAAAGTCAAACCCCAACATAATTTCTACAAAACTATGTAAGATCAGCTGAAGGAAAAACTAAATGAGACTAGGCAAAACATTTATTTAAAAAATAATGAGACTTGCCCTATCCTCTAATAATTAAAATAGTGCTTTATCTGTGAGTATGGAGTTTGCATTTAAATGTAGGAATTTTGCTCATGACATCGTAGCATTTCAAAACAGGGAAATTTTATCTGTTCAATAGATAATGTAGGGACAAAAAGACAGCCATTTGGAAACAAAAAGTTAGTTAATTATTCCACACCTTATATGAAAATGGATTTCAGGGGTGCCTGGGTGGCTCATTCATTGAGCATGTGCCTTCCACTCAGCTCATGATCCCAGGGTCCCGGGATCAAGCTCTGCATCGGGCTCCCTACTCAGTGGGAAGCCCACTTCTCCCTCTCACATTCTCCCTGCTTGTGTTCCCTCTCTCGCTGTCTCTCTGTCAAATAAATAAAATCTTTCAAAAAAGTGGATTCTAAAGAGATAAAGGAGTAAAACTTTCTTTTAATCCTTTAAAAATATTAAAGAAAAATACAGAAAATACTTTTGTAAGTGTGGGTGGGAAATACCCTCCCAGATAATATATGAAATCAAGGTACCATGTGCAATTTATTGAATAAATTATATCTCAGTAAAAAAATACAACTGAAAAAAGGAATACCATAAAGGGAAAAAGAACCCTGGCAAATTTGACAAAATAAATATCTTGAAAATGTAAAATATCCATGTGGTTAAAAAAAATAAACAAAGTGTAAAGATAAGTAACAAATAGGAAGAAAATTTTGTACCATACATAACAGCTAAAGAATTAATGATCAGAAAAATATATATGTGTATGAAAAAGACAGCAAGCAACTGAAAAATAGGCAAAGGTTAGGGACAGGCAATTGACAGAAAACTTTCTTTTAAAGGTTTATGTATTTATTTTTAAAGAGAGAAACAGAGAGAGTGAGAGAGAGCACAAGTGGAAGGGACACAGAGAGAGGGAGAAAGAGAATCCCAAGCAGACTCCATGCTGAGCGCAGAGCCCACAACCTGAGAGAAACAAGGGGCTCAACCCCACAACCTGAGACAAAACCAAGAGTCAGACACTTGACTGGCTGTGGCACCAGGAGCCCCAACAGAAGAAATTTTCTTAAACAGTCAATAAACATATGATGAGATGTTCAACCTCACTAGTAATTGAATACAATAATTAAAATTAAATTGTATTGAATATAATAATCGAAATTAAAACAACAATGAAATATTCTTTTTCCCATCACCAGGATAAATAATGAAAAAGATTAATAATATCCATCGATAATGAGGCTTCAGGGAAATAGACCCTATCATGCAATGATGGTCAGAGTATAAATTTGTAAGATCTTTTTGGAGAGCATATGGGCATTGTCTATTAAAAATTTAAATATGCATGGCCTTAGGCCTAGCAATTCTCTTTCCAGGAATTCAAAAGACACACTTGAAAATGTGTAGAAGGATGTTCACTGAAGCACTTGTTATGTTAATGAAAAATTGGACATTTCTGAGACTTCATCACTAGAGGGATGATGGCATACAGTTTGGTGTCGTCTGACTATGTAATATCACTTACAAAAAAGAGCATAAATAACATCGGCAATACTTATAAGGCATGAAGTCTGGTGTTATTGGAATATATGTGTGGGGGCAGGCACTAATGCCCACAGAAGAGGGACTTGATGGAGGCAGACCACACCATGGACAATGATTACCTCTGGGGACAGCAGTGCCCCTGAGGATGTTAGGATGTAATCTCGGTGGGCTAGCATGCAAAAAGAAGTCCTGAAGAAAGAGGAAGGATAGAGAAGCGCCTCGAACGAGATGTACAATTGGAATAGGCCAAGGAAAAAGAGATGACTTCTCCCAGAGAAGGTTACGTTATCGACCAAGTCTTGCTTCCCTCATGTATTGGTAGCAAGACATGTTATCAAAGGGCGTTCATTCATTCACCAGCCAACCTCCTTTGGCAACGGTGAGATGAGAAGACACGGCGTTTCAACCATTCTTCCTGGGACTTTACAGTGGAAGACCAGCAATTTTATCTCACATTAAAAACAATGCAAGAAAGAGAGTGTGACAGTCCATGGTCAAGGGCAGGGGACAGGGGTAGTGTTAAAAGCATTCCCGAGGAGTGCTTGGGTGGCTCAGTGGATTAAGCCTCTGCTTTCGGCTCAGGTCATAATCTCAGGGTCGGGGGATTGAGCCCCATATCGGGTTCTCTGCTCAGCGGGGAGCCTGCTTTCCCCACCCCCTGCCTGCCTCTGCCTACTTGTGATCTCTCTGTCAAATAAATAAATAAATAAATCCTTTAAAAAAAAATAAATAAAAGTATTCCCGAGAAAATTGCCCTGCTCCTGTGAATGGCTTGAGAAGACTTCAGGAAGGAGAGCAAAGTGAGTTCCTTAGAACAGAGGGACTCCGGAGCCCAGAGGAGGAAAGGCGCTCACTCCAAAAACACTTGTGAGAATTGCTATTCAGTGTTATAGCCCAAAAGTATTTGCCCACAGGACTTTTCATTGTGTTTGTTTTTGTTCTGGTTTTCCGTATAACAATTATTAATATGAGGTGAAGATTTAGGAAAATAAGGCTCATGGAAATGAGCAAGGAAAAGGGCCTGGGGAAATGGTGCCCCGGGAGGTTGGAGCCAGGGGCCTCTTCTCCGCCTTGGGCCTTGCAGAGAAGGACAGTGAGCCAAGCTTCCGCACTCTGCCCCCAGCCTGGGACAGACATTTTCCAACCTAAACAAGCCAGTCTGCTTTCAGGTCATTTATGTAGAGTCATCTTTTCTTTACCTTCCTGGTGTAGTCCCCTTGAAGCCTACGTGGAATGCTCTAGAAGGTATGGTCATCACTTTCTAAGGTGTCCGATCGTCCTGTTGAAAAACCACAGCCCTTCCCAGAGGCTGAGACAGTGCGAGGAGCAGGAGGCTCTGAGTTAGGGCAGAGGCAGCTGGGGAGGCCCAGCTCTGCTGTGAGATTAGAACCACTTCCAGGGCCTGTGGGGGATGAGCGTGAGACCGACAGAGAGACAAGGGAAAGAGGAAGTGAGGGGAAGGGGAAGGAGGAGGGGAAGGAAGAGTCAGAAATGGGAGGTCCAGGAGATGGAAAGAAAAGGAGAGGAAGAAGAAAAAAGAGGTTCAGAGAGTGGGAACAGGAAGGAGGGAGGGAGGAAGGGGATTAGGGGGAAGGGGGAGAAGGAGGACAAGGGTCTGTATTTCAAGTGAAACCTTATGAACCACCTCAGGTTTGGGGAGCAAGTACCTAAGTAAATGTTCTAGAAGGAACCCGCCTTCACTCCATGAAAGTAGATTCACATTAAATGTGAAAAGTGCAGATGACGGCACTTGAAGGCAAGGAACTTTTCATCTATTTTAATTGCACAGAGTCCTTACTACCAAGAGATGTAGTGTACAATTCCAGAATATACTGTGACATAAACATAAAAAGGACACGTTTAAGATCTTGTGTTTCAGAGCCAACTGATATTCAGAGTGAATTCCCTCCTTGGCCCTTGGTCATCTGATGCATTTTTCTGTTTTCTGTGCCAAAAGATATATTTATACTAATAGTCATTTGTTTTCTTGAATGAATTTGCTTAGGGAGAAAAAAATACACATTTCAGATAATACATCATTCCCTGCTTAAGAACATTATAATGAGGAAACTCCAAAGGCAAATAAAGTTGTACTAACCACTCTCTACATAAATTATCTGCTTTAACACGTCCCTTATTCATACAGGATATTAAAAATACTCCTTCTTCTTCCATTTAAAAAAAAAAAAACCCTTCACAACTGAGTTTTATCCTTTCAAAAAAAAAAAAAGCTTATCAAAGCCACATCACTAATGCCTTTACTATTATATTACATGTATATAATAAAATTAGATTCTTTCTCACATTTGAGACCATCAGCTTTACTTTGTGATCCTCTTAATCTTGTACCAGACCAAATTCAAGTTCAAAGCAATCAAAAATGTAATATTTAGCACACCATAACTAGTCTTACTGAAACAGTAGAACATTTGTGATAAAAAAATGATAACCTTCGAATGTGGGGCTTGGTAGCTAAGATGTTCCAGAACACAGCTGATACCTCCTATCTTTCTCCAGGAAGAGTGGGCTACTTCTGGTCCTTTGCCCACTTTTAGATGAATTTCTCAGTGAGATGTTGCCGGGGGCTTGGACCAATTCCTCTGGGCAACAGATCAGAGCCACCAGCATGCCCTGCTCTGAGGCCTGGAAACTGACATCAGGATTTCCCGACGCAGGCCTCCCCCACTCCAGCCTAAGCAACCAAGGCCGCACGGATCTGAGCTGGAGGCAAAGCACACACACAGCCAGTCCAATCTTTTAGACATAAAGGTTTTGCCCAGGGCCATGTTGGGCAGGATGGGGCCAGGCACTTGCTAGCCCCAGTGTCCAAGGAAAGATCTGTCCTCATCCCCAAGCCTAGCTCACGTGGCTGTGGCCCACAGAAACCATGAAGATGCATTCTAGCCCAGCAGAGCCATCTGGGGGCCCCTATCTCGCCAATTAGAAGAAGGACCACTGATCTGTGCCCCCCTTATCTCCCCAAAGAGCAGAGAGGCCCTTACCTCTCATTTCCGTCGCTGAGGAACCGTTGGACCAGGCGGTCCACTTATTCCTGTGCTTGCTGATCTCCTGGACTTTGCAGACGTAATGCCCTTGATCTGCTGGCCGGAGGGTCAAAACAGAGAGCGTGTAGAGTGCCCCGCGCCTCTCCTCCAGGAGGCACAGCCTCTGCCGGAAGGCGCTGCGGCTGTAATTCCCGTAGTACTGCACCACCCGGAGTTTGGTCATCTTAACCATCAAGGCTTCCTGGGCGTTGGGGCGTGCGAAGAACCAGCGCACGGCCAGCAAGCTGTCCTTCCGTCTCTTCTGGGAGACATGGCAGAGAAGAGTGGCATTTTCCCCCTCCAGGTAGTCAACCACAGGCCCCGGGGACACGGTGACATTGAGGGCCCCACACACCTCTGCAGAGAAAAAAGGAAGATGATGAGCATGGCCACCGCCTTTCTCCGGAAGGACACACTGTCCGTCTTTTCTCCAGGAGCCATGTGCATGGCCAGAGGGGCAGGCCACCCTGATCCCCTCCACACTCACTCTGTGCCTTTGTGGTGGACAGGAGGAGCCCTTCTGGAGCATGGCAGGGACAGGGAGTTTCTGTGGGCTCCCACATCCTCATCCATGGGACAGTCCCATCCACATGAAAAGCCCCTGACCACTTGGCCCAGACATAGTTGAAAATGTTCATCAATTAGTTGGTGACATTCAACACTTGGGAAATTTCACATAAAGATTTGGGTTTTTGGAATCCCTTAAACATTTCCAGCGCACATCCCATCCACCAGCCTGCCTCCCAGGGTCCACTTTTGATCAGTTTCATCACCTGCCTGAGACAGCAATGTTGTGGGTCCAGGAGCTGCCCTTCCAAGTCCCTTGCCCTGTCTCAGTGATTTCCACTGTAACCAAGGCAGGGCATCAGGGCTGGTCAGGCAGACATTGAACTAGGACCAAAGAGCTGGAACAGCAGAGGTTTCTCAGTGTCTAAGTCTTTTGTAGACTTAGGGTCCACGGTCTCAGAGCTACAGTGCAGGAATAAAGAATGAAGGAACCCAGGAACAGGGAGGAGGGAGAGAACCCCCTCAGAAACTCAGAAGATGCTCCAAAATTCCAGACCTGGTCTACTCCTTCCTGTCCTTTGTTTTTTGCTTTAGATCCACTCCAAGGTCTGCCCCTCCTGAATTGCCTTTCTGCCCCCCAAGCTGATCTTGGAGGGAGCCCCCCCAACACCCACCCAAAGCAGCCAGACCAGCAGACCTCACACAGAGGCCTCCCCCCTGGAAGACTCACTACATGGTGACAACAGGGACTAAGCCGTGTGGCCGTCCTGCCTTGGAGCTCACCGCTGGAGCCGTCAGCTTGTAGGTGGAACCCAGAGGCTGTTTCCGAACAGAACCTGACGGCCAGTGCGTCTTTACCCCAGGTCCCCCATCCTCCCTCTGCACTGCCAGCTGCCCAACCCCTGCCTGCCCCACCACACCAGCAGGGGGCCCTGGGGTCATCTCGAGCCACGGCTCTCAGCCCCAAATGTCACCTCTGATCACATGAAGGGGCTTGGGTCCTGATGTGAGGGTCAGCAAAAGCTTTGAACTCTGGCCAACGCTGCAGGTGAGCAAGGAGGAAGGATGAAAAAGTGATCAGGAAAGACCAGAACCTTCCACTGGGAAGAGGCCGTGTGTCTGTCGGAGTTGGAAAGGCTCCCGAGAAAAATATTCTTCACGGAAGAAGTCCAGGCAATAATCTCATCCTCCTAAATGGCTTCCGCTGTTGTGTTCATAAACTGCATACGTTCAGAGATAGGACGGAAGGGTCCACTTCCTCTCATTTTCTTTCCCAGCTCTCAGAAGTCAGGCCCACCAGGACACTCCAGCATACTCCAAGGTCCATCCTTAATCACCTCCATTAAGTACCTCTTGCCACGTAAGGTAACATTCACAGGTTCCAGGAGTTAGGACACAGACCTCGTCGGGGGCCATCATTCAGTTTTCCCACATCCTGACAATCTCTCATTGCCTTGAAAAATAGAGGGTTATAAACTCACAAGAAAAAGGTTGGTGCTGGGCTGGACTGTCCTTGTGGAAAAGAATGAGACTGTCTCTGTCTACGGCCACAAAGGACAAAGCCAGCCCTGGGACATACTTGGGGAACAAAGAGCATCAGCAACTAAGGAAAGTGCAGGTTCTCTAGTAACGATCTCCCTGTGACAGAAAGTGCTCATGTAGGAAAAAAGAAGAGGAAATGCTCCCACTGTCTCCCCTGCATCTCATGCATCTGCCCTACACCTTGCCCAGATGCTCTATTAAATTAGTCCAAGTCCCTCCAGGCTGTTAAGGCCCTGTCTGAAGTCCCCACGGGCCACAGCAGGGACACCAGGCTGACCCACTCCAGCAGCTGCCCCGGGGATCAGGGATCGGCAGACAGAGAGCAGCAGAGAGCGAGTGGCAGCTGGCTTCCAGAACTGAAGCCCAGCTTTTCCCGCCCCCAAGCCCCCCCCAACCCCCAAACCCCCCCCCCCCCCGGCTGGAGTCAAGGGGAGAACTGGGGAAGGCAGGAAATTGAAACAAGATGGGTGGGATGAGCGAGCCCAGACCCCACACCCCAGTCTCCTCCCATTAACGCTGGGTGAAAGAGGGATTATTTATAGTGACTGAAACCAGGAGAATGTGCCAAGTGCTCGGTTCCCATGGGAGGACAGATTCCATCCTGGAGGCAAAAGAGTAACCTTTCCACTTCTGCAGCTCAGACCAGGAGTCAGCAGCTCCCTGGAAAGCCAGTGGATGGAACCATCTGCCTAAAAGGACCCCTCCTTTTCTCTTTACCAGGGCACCTCTCCGCCTTCATTTAGCCCTATATCCTCTTACAAATGGGCCACGCAGGCTTCTCCCAGCAAAGTGCAAAGACCCTAATGTGCTCGCGAATTCATATATATGTTGAAAGCCCGAACCCCCACTCCTCAGAATGTGACTGTCTTCGGAGATAGGACCTTTCTAGGGGTGATTAAATTAAAATGAAGCTATTAGAGAGAGCCTTAATCCAACATGCACGATGTCCTTATAAGAAGAACTCTGGACACAGACACGTGCACGCACAGAAGGCTGCCCATGTGAGGACAGAGGGAGCACATGGCCATCTGGAAGCCAAACAGGGAGCCTCGAGAGAAACCAACCCTCTCGACACCTTGAACTCACACTTCAGGCCTCCAGGATGTGGGGAACAAATGTGTGAGATTCGTGGCACTTTGTTCCGACAACCCTAGCAAGCCATACAACCTTGTTGATAGGAAGGCTCGTTTCGGCCACACGCCTGTCACCAACCCAGATATTTACACCCACGGTCAGCTGAAAAGCATGAGCTACTGAAATTCAGGGCCAAGGGCCCCTCAGGGGCATAAAGTTTTGCTAGAGAACACAGGCTCTCAGTTGTCTCCAGGCCTGCGATGAGCCTTCCTTGAAAGCCAGGTGTTCCCAGTAGCACCCTTTCTTTGGCACTGGAGATGGCTGGTTGAAACCCAGCAAACACAGTTCCTGTGCCGGCCTGAGTGGGGAGGGGGAAAACTGCAGCTAGAGGCTCCAGTGCCTAGCAGATAACAGCTGAACTAGATATTTAGTTAAATACTAGAAAAGACAGCATCACTCGGCATCTGCCTCACTGCAGCCACGCCCCCCCAACCCCCCTGCCCATGCTCAGCAGAGAACATAGCAGGTGGGAGTCAGGAGGGTAGGAAGCAAGGGCAACACCAACCAATGTATGGAGTCAGGCTGGCCAGAAGGCAGTGCCCGTGGGAGTCCAGGCCTTTCTCTTCTGGATCTGTCTGAATGACAGAGCATACACCCACCCTGCAGGGCAGAGGGGCAAGCCAAGCAAACAAAGACCAAGCCAGCTCAAGACGGGAGGATGAGTGTCACCCTCCAAGCAGGGTGGTCTCCCCTCTCCTGGCCTAGGATGGAGAATTGTCAAAAACTCTCACCCAGAGAAGAACTGAATTTCTTGCTTTGTGACCCTGCATTGCAGGGAACTGAGATGGGAGGTAGATTCCCCAACCTCTCCCCTGCCACCCCACACCCCACCCCGCCCCAGGCTCCTCTGTGCCCAGGGTTCCCACTTCCTCCAGCTTCTGTCCCAGCCTATGCTTTGTTCACTTAATCACTCAACAAATACTTCCTGAGCAACAGCCTTGAGCCAGTCACTGCACAAAGAAGACAGCATTCCTAACCTCATGGACCTGAGGGTCCAGTGGGCGAGACAGCCGGTGCCAGGGGAAAAGGACACAGGAGGAACGACAAACAGTGTCACATGGTACAGAGATAAGTTGCAAGGCTTTTAAAAATCAGGGCAAGGTCCCGATCTAGTCTGTGGGGTCAGGGAAGAAGGAGACTCTGGGGAAGTGACTGTGAGCTAAAGGCTGAGTTGGGGTTAATGACATAAAATTCAGGAGAGCAGGGGAACCTGTGTGGTTCAGTGAGTTAAGCATGTGCATTCGGCTCAGATCATGATCCCAAGTTCCTCGGATCGAGCCCCACATCCAGCTGCCTGTTTCTCCTTCTTCCTCTGCCTGCCACTCCCCCTACTTGGGCATGCTCTCTCTCTCTCTGTCAAAAAAATAAGTAAATAAATAATTTTTTTAAAAAATTCAGGAGAATAGAAAAGAGTGACCTTCCTGGGAGAGAGGGGTTGCCACCTGTGCAAAGACCCTGAGGCACAAGGAAGGTAGTGCAGGCCAGAGGGAGAAAGCACAGCATCGTCTGGTGAAGGGCACCACACAATGACCCAGAAAGCCACCGGGCCTGCAGGTAGATCTCAGGAGGGAAATTTCTACCCCAATAAGGACCCCTCTGAGGCCAGTTCTTAAAGGAGGAATACGACAACATGGGCAGGGAAGAGGGTGAATGAAACAGAGCAAACGGGATTCTGGCCACAAGGATCCCTCCCCCAAGTGGGCTGGGCACTGGGATTCTCACCGCCCAGCCTTTCGCAGTGGCTTAATGGTGCCGGGCAGAGAGCTGGGGGTTGGCGTTCAATAGAGCAGGGATGGAAACTTGGTGCTATTAGATGTGAGGCCCTGAGAGCCTCAGTTTCCTCCTCTGAAAAACTAGAAAATGATGCCTGGCAAGGTGAGTGTCAGCTCCAATGAGGAAATACCTTCAAATACTAATATTCGTCTTAAGCTCTGAAAGCCAGGCAGGAGAAGGCAACAGAGAGTGACACGTGCCGACCTGTGAGCAGGGCGGGCTTCTGGGGTGTGTGAGATCCACAGTCATCCGGGGCCCTGCACTGGCAGGGGCCCACTGCTTGGTTCCATCTCTGTTGTCACTCTCTAGAAATTTTGAATCAGGGACTGCACATTTTCATGTTGCACTGAATCCCACAATCTATGAATTAAATTTCTGCGGAGAGGATTTCTGGGGTCTAACCCTCTTGCTCCCTTTTGTATACCGTCGTGAGAAGGACTAATGCAGCTCTGAGAACAGCTTAAAAGTACATCCCTGTACCAAACAGTATACAACCTACTCATCTAGTATAAAACCTGGGCCTCTCCCTCCAGCCCTGGCCACGCAGTGGAGGAGGGCAATTTCCAGCTGCAGGTTATTGTAGGACGTCTAACAGAAACAAGGCGCCCACATGGCCTGGGACCCAGACAGGGGTAGGGCCACCAGTGATGTGTTGGTGACTCTGTGCCCCACACTCCTTCTCTGTCCTGGAGAAACGGCTCCCACTCACTCAGATCGTTCCTCTTGCTGCTGCCCTGAATTTTATGCCTTTAACTCCAACTCAGCCTTCAGGGCCCCAGGCTCTCCTTCTTCCCTGACCCCACTCGGCCAGAAGTTTCTGCATTTGGAGCACTGGGTATGGTGCATAAACAATGAATTTTGGAACACTGAAAAAAAATTTAAAACAAACAAAAATAATGCAAATGGTAGGTTAGGTACCCATCAGCAGCAAAAATCTCATTCTTATCAAAAAGATAGCCTGAACTCCTGGCAAATACATCTCTGAAAGAAATACAATTGTATTATTTAAAAGCGCATGGCACTGGGAGCCTGTATGTATCTGCACCAAGCAGAGGTGCTACCAGACCTAGCCTATGGGCTGTGGCATTCGCATTATCCCATCCCCCGAAAATAGCTGTCATCCGGGACAAACACAGGACCCTGACCAATGACAAAGGCTACCACGAGCTGCGTGTGAACTCCAGGCCAGGCGTTGTTCCAAGCACTTTAGGTTTATCTGCCCGATTGATCCTTATATCATGTTTATCCTCATTTTCTGGAGACACTAAGCCCACTGGTCAAGCACACAGAACTCGGCAGAGCTGGAATTTGAACACAAGCCATCTGGCTTCAAAGCAATTCTCAGCCACCACTCCGGACCACAGCTTGGCCTTTAGGAAATATTTTGCCCCTCAGTTTCCTTTCCTGTAAAATGAGGGTTTGGACCAGCGACGGCTAAGGTCCCCCTCTGCCCCCAAATCAAGAAGTAGGAAAGTGCAGCGGCTAAGAGTCAGGACCTATGTGTAAGGCAGCTCTCTGCCAGGTCCGCCGTGGGGGATCGTGGCCAGGGGTCGTGGGCAAATGCTCAGCAGGAGGAGGCATTCAGCCTGTGCCACACAAGCAGGACTGTCGTGATGAGCCACCACATGGCCTTGGGCACAGCCAGGGCAGACTCTAAAGGACCCCAAACTGCAGCTCTCAAGCCTCCTGACGTCTCCCGAAAACATAAAAATGTCCTTGACTCCCCCCCAAAAGTCAATCTCTGGGGATGCCCTCCTTGATAACACCTGTGATCACGAAGGTGGTTGGGGAGCCTGGAGGGGTAAGGTTATATCCTGTTTGCTGCTGGCTACTCCACCATAGCTGTCCTGGTCCAACCACCCCAATCAACACCCCAATCAAACCTCCAGTCACAGTTGGTCAAGACAATGACAAGGATGACAAAAGCATTTCCCACAGCACCAATTTCAGATTCCCCAGAAAATCGGGCTGCTCTGGTCGCCAGGGGACAACCGGTGAATTTCTGCCCACTGTGATCCAAGTTCTTCCTGCTCAGACTCTGACCTATGCTGGCTCAGATGCCAGCTCCTCCACTTGGTAGGTGGGTCACCCTTGGAAAAATCACTTAATTCTGAGCATCAGCTTCCTTATTGACAAAACACACCTTCGACGGAATGAGCAAAGGCTAGCACCAGGCTCCCGGGATTCAAATCCCTGCTCCACAACTCAAAAGACCTGTGACTTAAGCCAAGCCGATTTCTGGGCCTGTGCCTCAGTTTCATCATTTATAAAATGAGCATACTAACAGCACCTCCTCCAGAGGTTACTGGCAAATTGAGTTAATGTTTTCAAAGCAGCTGGATATATATATTTGCTTTTTGACGTGATTAAAGTGCTGCTGTGATTAAATGAGATCATGTGTAGCGGGACACCTGGCACCCAACAGGCACCCAAGAAATGTAAGAGCCATCGAAACAGTCATTATTAACTATTATTCTAGCCAACGTGGACTTTCCAGCTCCGAGGCAGGCGGGCAGGACTCGGGGAATCAACTTAGAAATGAGGGCAGCAACCCCAAGAGAGAGCCGGCAGTGCAGGTAGGGGCTTTCCTAAAGCAGGGTGCTCCGGGAAAGGGTCCCACTTCTTCCAGGCGCGGACACGGTGTCTCCCTCGGCCTGCTCCCGCAAGCCGCCCGCGGACAAGCCCGCGTTGCCGGGGCACATCCAGCCCCTCCGAAAACTCTCCGCAGAAGTAGAGGAAAGTTGCTGCCAGTCCAGCCTGCCAACTGTTGTTGGTCCTGGCTGTCCTGGAGAAAGCAAGCAAGCAAACTAACAGCTAGAGCCGGCGCGCCCCTGTTTCAGTCTAGCCCCCTAAGGCCCGGTCCCCGGAGGGCGCGGGGGCTGTGGCGAGTGCCCGCGTAGCCGCGGGGCCCGGGCGGAGGCAGGAAGGGGTCCCCGCACGGCGGCCGCAGGGAGCCGGGAAGGCGCCGCCGCGCTCCGCAGGGCTGGCGCGGCCACAGAGACCCGCGGAACCCGGGCCCCGCCGGGCGCGGACGGGGAGGGGGCGGCCCGGGAGGCGGCAGGGCCTCCCCGCCAAGCCCCCGGCCCAGAGCTCCGGCCTCCCCGGCGCGGGCTGCCCTCGCCCCACCCGCGCGCCCTGGCCCCGCCGCGCTTACCCGGGGCCGGAGCCCGCGCCAGCAGCACGGCCGCCGCCAGCGCCAGGAGCCGCATCTCCCCGCCGCCGCCCGGCGCTGTGACGCCCCAGCAGAGCCGCCGCCCGCCCGGCCCGGCCCCGCCGCTAGCCCGCCCCGTGCCGCGCCCGCCCCCGGCCCCGGCCCGCCCCTCCCGCGGGCCCCGGGCTGTTGGGTGCCGCGTGACGCAGGGGGCCAGGAGGGCCCCCTGCCATCGGCTTGCCCAGCGACCTGTGGCCGGCTCCTTGTCGCCACCCCCACTTCACAGATGAGGAAACTGAGGTTCTGAGGGGGATCGCTGGACGCCGGGAAGGCACAGATGGAGTGGGCTTCGCGGTCCCTTTGCATCACCCACAGTTATTGCTACGGGGAAGGGCGCTTGGAGTTTGGGGCTGTTGGGACAGGGGGTTGGGGGGTGCGGCCCCCAAATGAGGTGGCTGCTGGGACCGGAGGCTAACCGGATTCCCAGCGTCTCTCCACAGCAAGTCAAGGAGCAGCTGAGGGAGGAAAAAGCCCTCTTCCGCTGCCCTGAGCTGGGTGTGGGGGATGTCAGGAATGAGCTGGAAAATCCTGGAGAACTGAGAGGGTCCACAACAGGTAAGTTCAGAGTGTGTGTGGACACTGTTAAAACCAATGACCACTCAGAGTCCACTCAACTACAGCCTGGGCTAAGTACTTTGTGCCATGTTACTGAATCCTGGCACTGTAAGACCCTGGGACAGTTCCTTAATCTCCATGCCTCTATTTGTTCCATCTGTGCAATGGGGAAAGAGGCACATCCATTATGGGGTGTTCGACATCAAGTGAGACAGCTCCAGTTAAGGCACAGCCCCTGGCCCCTGGCCCATGAATGTCAGCTATCATTGCAATTATCATTATAGATAATGAAGCTGAGTCAGAAAGACAAAAGAGCTGACTCAGTCACACAGCAAGGGAGTGGGGACAAGGCCCCTCAGCCCAGGTCACTCTGAGCCAATACCGGTCTCCTCGCCGTGGTTCTAAACTTGGGGTCTGAGCCCGACTGATATGTTTAGTCCAGCATCTCTAGAGCAAGAACAGTACATATTAGCTATGTTCCCTGTGTGTCTGTCAAGGATGGTCTTTGTGGGGAAAAGGTAGGTCCTGCTTGGCAGTGGACCCCTACAGAAGAACAGGGTCCCCTCTCCTTTGCTCTAAGGGCAGAAGAGGGATGGGGAAAGTGTGGAGAGAGAGGTAGTGGTGCCCCCTGGTGCTGAGCCACAAGGCCTGTCCCAGAGGGACCATCCACAGCCCCAGTGGGTACAATACCAGTGGGTACAAGCCTTTGTGATCTTTCCAAATCCCAGACACTTCATGAGGCCCCTGGTCCCCAAGGGCTTTTCTAGCTGGGAGACTGTTCCATAGAGCAGGCCCCTGTGGTAACTGGACCCACCGTCAAGGTAGCCAGACTGGACGGAGTGGCCCCCTACTGCTGAAATGTCCTGAGCAGTCGGTGGTAAGCTGGCTGCAAGGTCTCTGGGTCTGAAGCCAAGGACAAGAAAGAAGTAAGGACAAGAACTCGTGTCCAACTGGATCCATCACCCCAGGCAAATATTCCTAGGAGGCTTCCAGACCAGAGCTTGGAAACTGTAAGTAAATAAGCCTTGTTCCCCCTTCCTGTGAGGTCCCAGGCTCCATTTTTCAGATTAGTAAACTCAGGCTCAAAGAGGACTGCAGACCTGCCCAGGGCTCTGTGGGCCCCCAAGTGTCTGACATGGGACCCTGCCTTTGTGTCGGAAGAAGAGTGTTGGCTCCGAAAGCCAACCAGCACCTGACCCTGGGTGACAGTGTGGGGTCCTTTGGCGATGTAATATCTCTGCACTTTACTTTCCAGATGAAGGCGACATATGTAAAATGGCATGTCCACGTGACGGTCCAAGATGTGGACAGTGAGCTAAGGGGGTGGCAGGACTGCTCAGTGTCTGCCGTGACCTCCCTTCACACTTCGTGCTTGCAATTTACTCTTCTAGTCAGTGGAAAGTAGAAGGAGCCCCTTACACATGTTGGTCACACTTGAAGGAGCCAATTCCTGCTTTGATCATTGGATCTTTTCTAAACATCAGTCTCTCCCCAGATGATTGAGTGGATATCCAATCCAGCATTAGACTTAAGTGCCCACTCTTGGCTTTGCTTTCTCTGGAGCTATGCTGGAGATTTGGGGCTGGAAAGTGCTTTTTTTGTGCTACTGTGATATGTGACATTGTTCTGTTTTCAACCGTGTGCTCTCTTAGTACTTTTCAGTTTCCCAAATAATCTACTGGACCATCTTGGTACGACCTGTGCTGCATGGCACAGGAATGGGAAAATATACCCATTCCCCATGGGAGAAGCAATCAGCGACCCAGAGGAGACTAGATATTTCAGTTGGCTCTGGACCACAGTAGCAAAGGCCCTCACCCTGCCACCTGCCCACTCCCTCCCCAGCTTAAGACTTGAAAATCCTCCACTGATGTATTTGCCCATCCCCTGACTCTATCAGGTCTGAGTTAGAATTAGAAGAATAATACTGTTTTGAATTAAAAGAATAATACTGCAAGCCAGTTATTTTTTTAATTACCTCTTTTGAAAATCCTTATCTGGAGTTTCTGGATGAGGATCCAGACTATTCTAAAGTTGATACGGGTCCCTGTGGACACTGAGCGATGTGGAAACCCTCCTCAGCTAATCTGGATTCTATCAGTCACCACCAAAAGAATCTTAGAAATCCGAATTCCCTCAAAATATCTAGTCTCTCCTCTTTCCTTACACAGTCGTCTGCTAAAACCTAGGTCTGAGATGAGAGCATGGCATGGTTCAAGAATCAGCTTGATTTCGTGTACAGCAATTATATCCCTAAATTAAAGCACCAAGGAAAAGTAAACACCCCCTTCTACGGTGTTGGGCAGATTTCTGGGTTATTTTTTCAGTCTGGAATTATACGAGTAGTTTTTGAGATTTCCTCCATACGGCCTGCCAGCATTTCACCCCCAAAAGCAGTCAGTTGCACACTTGAACTATCACAGGGAGGGAATGAACAAGGAGTGGATTTTTGGATTAAAAGGGTTTTAGCTCTATCTGATGGGGTTGGGGGAAGGGTATGAAAGAAGAGATCGTGGTTACAGGGGGTTCGTCCATCCAAGCAGAAGGAAAAGCCATGAACTAGCAATGGTGGAACTATCACGAACCCTGCAGCATTTTGTCCCCTGTGAGACTTGGGAAGGGCTGTGAGGCACACTGGGTATTCCCTAAAGGGAAGGAATGTGAGGTTGTAAGCCTGACAGTAGATCTATATAGAAAGAGCTTCTGCAAACCAATCTCACTGGTGACCCTGATAAACTGGGATCATTCCATGACTTTAGCATTAACTGTGAGCTTTGTACTAGGGACTCTGCATGCTGGCTGGATGCAGAGAGAAGTGGACCCAGATTCTAGAAGGCTCCAGAAGGAAAGGACTGGAATGAGGGAGGGATAAAGAACTAGATGTGTTATCTATATCCCTGACCACAATAGAGACCTTGCCCACTTCCTCTTTCTATCTGCTGGAAACAGGAAACATTTACATGAAGGTAGCCCTTGAACTGAACTTGGAAGGACACTGGGAGAGTCCTCCAAGAAGAGGGTGAGGGGCTTGTTCCAGGTGAGGGAGCAATGTGTGTCAAAGCACAGAGGCTAAAGGACACAGGACTTTCAAGGTTCATAGGTGGTTTCTGGGGACCTAGAAAACCAGTTGTGTCTGGGAAGTGAGATGTAGACCCAGGAGTTTGAACTTCAAATCAATAATGGTGGGTCCCACTGAAGGAAAGGAGATGTCACAAGGGTCCCCTTGTAATCACAGAGCAAGGGACTGCTAGGGGAAGAGCAGGTTTGGAGGAAGGGGCTATATGGAGCCTAATATGTCCAATACTGTTGACAGGAGATCCATGAGAAATATTGAATTCTAGGATCTGTAACTCACAATGAGAGTAGAAGCAGGGAAAGACAACCTTTTCATCCTCGAGCCTTGGGATACCTTGGGAATAAAAGCCACTGCCAAAGGGTTAGTTCTCTGAGATAAGGGGAGCTATGAGTACTGAGCTCTTAGAAACCCAGTCCTATGCAGTGCACAACACATGGTAAGTCATTGATCAGTATTTCAGGGGTGCACCAGGCCTCTCTTCCTGGCTTATAGATGGCCATCTTCTCCCTGTGTCTTCCCATGGTGTCCTCTGTGTGTGTGTGTCTGTGTCCTAACCTCCTCTTCTTACACAGTCATATTGTGATGATTAACTTAATTACCTCATAAAGACCCTATTTCCAAATACAGTCAATTTCCAAGGTATTGGGGTTTCGGACTTCAACATACAAATTTTGAGGACCACAGTTTGGCCCCTAACAGAAAGGAAGGAGAGAGGGAGAGGGGAGACAGGAAGGGCAGGTGATTTTTTTGAGAGAGCAGCCAAACAGGGAGCTGATGGGGGGCTGGCAAAGAGAGATGGGGGGAAGCCAGCAGACTGTGCTGTGGTCTCCCACTCCCACCACCAGGCCTAGGTTCTGAGGTCGACTATCAGAGAGAGGCAACTAATCCCAAAACAAAAGGCAACAAGAGAATCAAGAAAAATCCTTAATCTTCTCATGCTGACCTGGAATTAACAAAGAGTAGTTCCAGAAGAGATGTCTCTTTGGCACATCCCGGTGTTTGTAAATAACAGGTTTTACTGGGCCAGGGGCATCTGGAGTGGGGAGCAGCTCTCATGCCAGAACCCTGCCAAGAGGTCTCCACCCAGCCCCTGAGCCTTCTGTCACACCCCACAGTGTTCACACCGGTCCCGCTCTTCTTGCTGCGTTGGCACTATGCCCCCTCGTGCTTCGGACTGGCCAATGAAGGAAGTCTCAGTGGAGCTTAGTAGAGCCTGTCCTAAGGGACACGACCTGTGGCTCCAGTCACTGGGCAACATGAACCCCCAGGAGTGCTTTGGGCATGTGTGGGGCATTTTTGACTGTTATAACAATCTTGGGGTGCGGCCACAACTGACATCAGGGAGCTGGGCTCTGATACGATGCCTTAAAGGGTAATGGGCCATCCTGCACCCGGGTA